TGAAATTATAATGATTTGTTTTTGCAAATTAGGATGAATGACATATCAAGACTATTTAATCAGAAATGTTAGGTGTATTGACATCTGTGCTTTATCTGTTAACATAGTTTTACCTCTTCTTGTTCTTATGATCTATTTACCACCATTGCTAATTCTTTGAGATCAGATACTACGAGTTTAAACTCTGCATAGTTGTTTCATGTCAGTTATTTGTACCCTACCAGATCACTAGATATGAATAAAACATGCACACTTTGCAATTCTAAAGCAAAGCTTATCTAAGAAGCTTTACAAATCTCATACAAGCTTGCCACCTAGTCAAGTGAAAAGCAAATCTTGCATAAAATTAGAAAAAGACAGACAATTTCAAAACAAATTATATTTCCTTGAAAACATCTCAAATGTTTTCCATATATAGATAGTTTGGACAAAGCCTATGAATTTCTAAATATTCATTAGAATGTAATTCAATATCCTTCACTTTTGAGCATTTCTAAACATTAATAAAATTCCAGAATATACATATGATATATACTCAGTTTGATTCTCTGCTTTTATCCATTCCCTTATTCACTCAGTCAGTCATTCAACACAAGTTAATGGAATACCTCCTAGGTACTAGGCACTGTCCTAGGAACTGGGGATACCATGGTATATAAAATAACAGGGTCCGTGCTCTACTGAGGTACATTATAGTATGTTAGGCTATGTGTGTGCACATGTGTGTGTACAGAGTGTTTGGAAAAGTATGTGCTAACAAAATGAGCAAGAAAATTTCAAAAAATAATAAGTGCTATGAAGAAAATAAAATCGGGTGATGTGAAACAATTGCTATCAGGGTTAGAGTTGGAGGAAGGTTGGCTGATTTAGATAGAGTAGCCTACAAAGACCTTTGCCATAAGGTAATATACACTCTGAAATATTGACTTGAACAATAAGAAAATGTAACTTGTATGAGGCTTTGGAGACAGTTTTCCAAGCAAAAGAAACAGTAAGAGTGGAATAACTAAACTCAGAAATAGCTTGGATAGTGCAGGAGAAAATAATAAGGCCAATGTAGAGAAAGGAGAGTGTTAGTATACGGGTACAGAGATGCAAACTGGAGCCAGATGAAAAAGAGCTGTGTAGACCATGTTTAGTGGCCAGGGCAATTTACAATTTAGATCTTTTGCTGTGGGACCCTTCTTTACTGACAGTTCCAGTTACTGCTCCTCTGTATTCACCACTGTGTTTGCAAATGACTGAAACACTGGAGGTATTATTTGAGCCCATTCTGGTGGGACATAAGGCTGCTCTAATGGAAACTTTGGTTCAAAGATTACCCCATCAATCTGGCCAGAGCTTTCTCAGAACTGTGTGGAATCCTGCGACTCTCTCTACCTGATTCTCTCCTTCTCCCTCTCATTTACAGATGTCAGACTTGCATTACAGTCTAAAGGTTTTCCATGCCCATTTCTTCTTCCCCTTCCTTATCCTTCACAGACATTTCCTCCAATAAATCCTTGGTGTTACTATTTCCTTCTGGGGACTATTTCTCAGAGGACTGGAATAAACACACCATAGTAAGGGTATTGTGAAGACATTTAGCCAGGGAGGTAATGTGTCCTGATTTCCCTTTTTTAGAGATCTTTCTGGATTTCTTGTGGAAAATGGATTTTATGAGTGTAAGAGTAGAAAAAAGGAAAGCAATTAGGTGGTTATTATGGCAATTGAGACAAGAGAGTTTGCTTACTTAGTCTAAAGCAGGAGTAGTTTACTTGGATAAATTAGGGATTTTAGATATTCTTTGGAGTTAGAACCAAGAGAATATGATGATTAATTGGTGTGAGAAGTAAGAGAAAGAAGGAATTTAGAATGACTCTTAGGTCTTGTGTTCTCTCTCTCTCCCTCCCTCCCTCCCTCTCTTGTTCCCCTTCTCTCTCTCTCTCTTTCTTTTCTTTCTTTCCTTCTTTCCTTTTCTTTCTTTCTGCATCTAGAGTTATGACAATATTGTCTGTTGCCACTATGAATACTGGACAAGAAACAATTTTTTTGTAGAAGTATAGGGAATCAATAGTTTTGGATATATTAGGTTTCAGATATCTATTGGACATCTAAGTGATAATATCAAATAAGCAACTGATTGTGTAAGTACAATAAATAAGTGAAGAGGTCATAGCTAGTGGTATAATTATGAAAAGCAAAGTCATGGGACTGGATGAGATCACTTAGGAGGAGAAGGTAGATCGAGTAGAGCATTGAGGACCAAGCCTTGGGAAAACTCAATGTCTAGAGGGATACTAGAGAAAGCAAAGTGAAGGAAGGAAGCCATGAGGAAGAAAAAAGCCATGAGAATATTCAAAGAAACCAATGAAAAAAATGCCTCACATGTAAGGATTCACCACTTGCATCAAATACAGCTGAAAAGTCCTGTAAGAAGGAAGTTACCACTGAATTTGTCAACACAGACGTCACTATTGATTATGACAACTATTTTAGTAGAGTACTAGACACAGAAGCTCTATAGAAGTGGTTAAAAAAGAGAACAGGAGTAAGACATATAGTTAAATGGAATGGAATTGAAAGTTAATAAATAAACTTTTTTATTTATGATCTAAACATTTAAGACCATATATTTATGGTCAATTCATTTTCAACAAGATGGCCAAGACAATACAACAGAGAAGGGATGGTTTTTTCAACAAACGGTGTTGGGACAACTGGATAGCCATGTGCAAAAGAATGAAGTTGGACTCCTCCCAAGCACCATATAGAAAAAATTAATCAAAATGGACTATACACCAAAATTTAGTAGCTAAAACTATAAAACTCTTAGAAGAAAACATAGGAGTAAATTTTTGTGACCTTCAGTTAGTAAGGGTTTCTTAGATATGATTCAGAAACACAAGTGACAAAAGAAAAAAATGGACAATTGGACTACAAAATTATAAACATTTCATTTGGAAACAATATCACCATAAAAGTGAAAATACAATCCACAGAATGGAAGAAAATCTTGCAAGTCACAAGTCTGATAAAGAACTTATATCTGGAATATATACAAAATATTTAAAACTCAACAATAAAAAGAAAAATAACCTAACTTAAAAATAGGCAAAGGATTTGAATAAACGTTTCTCCAGAAAGATATACAAAAGGTTAATAAAAACATCAAAAGATTTTCAACATCCTTTGTCAATAAGAAAATGTAAATCAAAGTCACAATGAGATTCTATTTAATGTCCACTAGGATGGCTAAATTTTAAAAGACAGACAATAACAAGTGTTGACAAGAATGTGCAGAAATTTGAATCTTCATGTATCACTAATGGGAATGTAAAATGATGCAGCTGCTTGGGGAAACAGTTTGCCAGTTTCTCAAAATATTAGACATAGAGTTACCATATATCCAAGAGAAATATAGATTTCCACACAAAATATAGCACACAAATGTTTATAGCAGAATAATTCACCATAGCCAAAAAGTGGAAACAACTAAAATGTTTATCAACAGATGACTGGATAAATAAAATGTGTTTTATCTATAAGATGCAATATTATTTGGCAATAAAAAGAAATGAATTTCTGATGCTTGCTACAACATAAATGACGTATTGCTCTTTGTATGCTTGATGTGTGATATTTCTGAACCTCAGTTTTTCCTGTTAAAATGAAAGTAATAATACTTTCTTCCAGTCAACTTCTGGGCATGATAACTACAAAAGAAAACAGAAGTTTAACTACTTCATAAAACACCAAGTCCTCCTCTCTATGTTTAGAAGAAGAATCTGTTGATCTTAAGAAAAATTTAATAGAAACATATGAATGATTAAGAGAGTACAGTTACCTTTTCCTCGGCAAGTGCTTTGATGTATTTTTTACCCACTTTTTTCTTCATTGTCCATGAAATAGCTCTCATCTTTTTACCCAAACCTCCTCCATTACTTGAAGTTTTATTTTGTTCTCCACTTTCATTTATGGGTTCCCCTTCATGTACCTAGTTTTTTATGGGTTCCCCTTCATGTACCTAGTTTAGAATTAATTTTAAAAGACAAAATAATAAAGCAGTAGAAATGACTGATCTTAAAAAAAAAAAACATTGTTTTAGAGAGGTTTCCAAGTTTGTGGACTTCCTCTTCATTCTGTGTGGAAGCCTCCAAAATTTCAGTCTGGGCATATTACATATTGCTAAAATTGGCCAGGCCTAATTAC